GGGGGGGGGGGGGGGGGGGGGGGGGGGGGGGGGGGGGGGGGGGGGGGGGGGGGGGGGGGGGGGGGGGGGGGGGGGGGGTCGTTTTTGGTTTGTGATGCCATGACTAAATAACACAATAGAAAAGCTCCTCCGGTGTGATCATGACTGACGCGTCAAACGTATTTATCGAGAGCGTGTGCTGTAGACTGGCGCCAGAAGAAATGGGATGTACACACAGACACACAATCAATAGATACGTCATGCTCTTGAAACGTCCGCTGTCCAAGGCGACCTTCAAACAAGCGCGGATCGTTGCGAGGGGCACGAGAAACAGCCAGGACCGCGCACTCCCAAGTAGCAGCGAGAGACACATCGCGATTGATCACACCAGGCAAGCATCGTCAAGAAAGGCAGTATCCCAGTGCATCAACATTGGAAGGGAGACCACCTCTCAGCAACAACATCTACCAGATCCCTGGCGTACCGAGTCTGCTGGTGGGGGATGCCAGCCCGCTTGAGAGACTTTCGTTTGTCCGTAACTCCCTTCATAAACTCGACTACGTTAAATGTTGGAGTATGCAGTCGAGTTTATGAAGGAAGTATGGACAAGCTACAGTTCCACATGCGGGCTGGCATCCGCACCAGGAGACCCGGTACGCCAGGGATCTGGTACATGTTGCTGAGTGGTGATCTCTCTTGTTATGTTTATGCACTGACATGCTGCCTTTCTTGACGATGCCTGCCTGGTGTGATCAATCGCGATGTATCTCTCGCTGCTACTTGAAGTGCGCGCTCCTGGATGTTTTTCATTCTGCTCGCAACGATCCGCGCTTGTTTGAAGGTCGCCTTGGACGGCGGACGTTTTCGACGACGACCTCCCCCCCCCCTTCTACGAGCGCGCAAGATCGAAATCCCGTGACATGTCGAAGAATAGTTGTGTCTGCTGAACGTGAAGCGTTTGGTTGGCCGGGAGGCCCAATCACTCCATGGCATATCTGGTTAGGCACAGCAAACGCAAGGAGGATGATGAAATTTTCATCATTGTCAAACGTAAAATGGCCTGGGCAGGCCAAAACCCGGCATATCGCTCCGTCCCGGGATTGTATTGATGCGAGGTCTATGGTCTACCATCTCGGGCATGCGTGTTCATGAGTGACCCCCCCCCCCATGTCCCCCGTTAAAACAAGTCCTATGAGATCAATGCTCCGTCCTGCCGAGGACTCTTGGTTCGTGGTTTAACCGCTAAGAAAAGTAACACACAAGTGCGCCTCCCCCCAAACCTTCCCCACACGTGGACAGAACCGCTCGGCAATGGTTGTGGGATACGATGGGGGAGGACCCCAAGGTTGCGATGAAGCACCTGGCGGCGTGCGCTAGCGAGTCGGCCACGGAGAGGGTCACCGCTTTCGGGATACCCAAGGTCTGACGATTGTTGTTGTCATCGTTGTTGCTGTTGTTGTTGTTGTTATTATTGTTGTTGCTACTCTGTGTTGTTCTCGCGTGGTACCCTTTGACCATATTTCTGTTGTACTCTGTGCCTGGCGCTTCTCAACCGCGAGAGTGTTACATCGTGTATGAAACAAGATAACAATCCCCATTGACCGATTTCCGAAGCTGGATTTGTCGACAGCAGGAAGTGTCACAGCGCCGAGAACGGCGGCGTTGGAACCACCTGGTCGAGAGCTTGTTTATAATGTATCGCTTCGTTGACGCATCCTCTTCGTCGTGGAGTAATCGAGCTTTGAAAATTGGTCCAGGGGGTGTGTTATCTCGTGTCATATACGTTGTTCGAGCTCTGAAAGTCGGTCGAGGGGGTGTGTTATCTTAGGTCATATTCGTTATTCGAGCTCTGAAAGTCGGTCCAGGGGTTGTGTTATCTTGTGTCATACACGTTATTCGAGCTCTGAAAATCGGTTCAGGGGGTGTGTTATCTTGCGTCATATACGTTATTAGAGCTCTGAAAGTCGGTCCAGGGGGTGTGATATCTTGTGTCATATACGTTATTCGAGCTCTGAAAATCGGTCCAGGGGGTGTGTTATCTTGTGTCATATACGTTATTCGAGCTTTGAAAATCGGTCCAGGGGGTGTGTTATCTTGTGTCATATACGTTATTCGAGCTTTGAAAATCGGTCCAGGGTGCGTGCCATTTTTTGTCATATACGTTAACTTCAACGCGTTTATTGCTTCATGTACAGGACTCGATATTGCTTTTTTGGTGTGCCATTTTTTTTTTTATTACGGGACTGGCTGTTCCCACGTCGGGGTTAATGTAGTTCTTTATGTGGATACATAACTTTGGACTATTTCGTCCTTTGCTTCAGTCTGGTTGTTATCTCTCTCATTCATCGATTTATTTTTCACCAGGCACTTTCTCCTTGTTGTCCTTCAACGCTTTGAAGACCTTACTTACTCACTGGCAGGACCCGTTTTTTTTGTTCCTGACATTTGCAGAGGATTCTCTTTTTTTTCGTTTCGCAGGACCGATTGATTGTGTTGCTGATGTTTCTGTCGTTGGCGTTGTCGTCCAATCTGTTGCCTTCGGGATGCCCAAATTCTGAGCCTTTTTGTTAGTTGTTATGCTGTTGTTGTTGGTGTCGTTGTTGTCAATCGTATTTCTTTCATGTGCAGGACCCGGCTTTTTTTTTTGTAAATGGCAATGATTCTTAATCTCTTTTCGTTCTTACTTTTCGCAGGACCGGCTGTTCCCGCTGTGGGACTGGGTTGGTGGCCGGTACTCAGTCTGTTCGAGCGTAGGGGCGCTTCCCTTGAGCCTCAAGTACGGCTTCCAGCAGTTCGACAGCTTCCTGGCAGGTGGGTTGATTGCTCTTGTTCGGAAGCTTTCTTGTTTTAGTACGGCTTCCAGCTGTTCGACAGCTTCGTGGCACGTGGGTTGATTGCTCGTTTTTGGATGCTTCCTTGTTTTGGTACGGCTTCCAGCTGTTCGACAGCTTCCTGGCAGGTGGGTTGATTGCCCGTGGTTGGAAGCTTCCTCGTTTTAGTACGGCCTTCAGCAGTTCGGTGGCTCTTTGACAAAATGTGGGTAAGTCGTCGTTGTTGATTGTGTAAATATTTCCATGTTCTCCTCGTGCGGGATTGTTTTGTTTTGTTTGTTTGTTACAGGCGCCCGCAGCATGGACAGGCATTTCTTGCACGCGCCTTTGGAGAAGAACATGCCGGTGCTTATGGGGCTTCTCGGAGTCTGGAACATCTCGTTCATGGGGTACAAAACTAGAACCATTTTGCCCTATGCGGAGGCCCTCCTCAAGTTCCCGGCGCACATTCAGCAGGTGCGGTACTGCTGTAGCGCTGGAATACTTGATCAGAAATTGCTCAGCTTCGATAAGAGAAAGCAGAAGAAAAATAGCAAAAAGGAGGAATGCACGTTTTCGATAAAAGGAAAGAAGAGAAACGGAAAAAAAACAGGAATTGCGCACATTCGACGAAGGACAGAACATAAATCGAATAAAGTCTCGCTCATGTATGTGTTTTTCGCCATGTAGATTGTTGTTGTGCTTGGACAACGCGCACATTGAGTTGTAGCTGTTTGGTCAGTCGCATCATGTGGATTGCAATTGTGCCGGGATGTATCATCTCGGAGGATAAATATTGGAGTTCACGATCACTTTTCTACCGAAAAAGTCGACGTTGGCCAGAGCGGGGGGGCACGCGCACGGCGTGTTACGCTTCGAAAAGTCAATTCGTTCTCTGTACGAGGTCAATTCGTTCTCTACACGTGTTACTTCACTTGTTTATGGTGCGGTTTGTGGTGTTGCAGATAGTTGCTCCGTCTGAAGACAACAACGCCAACAGCAAGCGGGTTTCCTGTTGCTGTAGCTCACGGTAGGAGTACTCGATGTGTCCGGAATAGTCTTTGCCGGGAGTACCGCAATTCAGGATACACGGAGCCCCCGCAGGATAGGTGTACAGAGTTGCGACGTCTGGGCTCGATTGTAAACGCCGTGCATGGTCGTGAGTACCGCCTTCCCCCCCCCCCAAGCATGGGTGCGAAGTCTGTGATTATCGTGCTTCTACGTGGGCCACACGAGACCGACTTAATTTCATTGGTCAGTCGGTTAGCGTGGTCGATGCTACTATTAATAGTACCGTTACACACACACGCGCACGCTTTGTTTTCATCTGCCATCAGACTCAAGTCTTTTCATTGGTCCGGTTAGCGCTACTCGATGCCATCAATAGTCAGCCACCCCCCCCCCCCCCCCCCCCCCCCCCCCCCCCCCCCCCCCCCCCCCCCCCCC